CAGGAACAAGACAAGGATGTCCACTATCACCACTCCTGTTCAATATAGTTTTGGAAACACTAGCCAGAGCAATTAGACAAGAGAAAGAAATAAAAGGAATAAAGATAGGAAATGAAGAAGTCAAATTGTCACTATTTGCAGATGACATGATACTCCTATATACAGAAGACCCCAAGAGTCACCAAAAGTGTTCTACACTTAATAACCAAATTCAGTAGAGTAGCTGCATAAAAGGTCAACACACAAAAATCAATAGCCTTCATATACACAAACAACAGACTCACTGAGAGAGGAACTGGAGAAACAACTCCCTTCACAATAGCATCCAAAAAATGAAACACCTAGGAATCAACCTACCAAAAGAAATCAAAGCCCTCTACTCTGAAAACTATAGCGCTCTGAAAAAAAGAGATCAAAGAGGATATCAGAAAATGGAAAGATACCCCTCGTTCCTGGGTAGGAAGAACCAATATAGTGAAAATGACCATGCTTCCAAAACTGCCATATAGATTCAATGCAATCCCAATTGAAATTCCAGCAGCATACTTCACAGACCTTGAGAAAACAATTCAAAAATTGATTTGGAACAAGAAGAGACCTAGAATAGCAAAAGCAATTCTAGGCAATAAAGACATGGCAGGGGGTATCACAATCCCCAACTTGAAGCTATACTACAAAGCTATTGTGATAAAAACAGCATGGAACTGGCAAAGAAACAGACCCAAGGATCAGTGGAACTGATTAGAAGATGCAGAAACAACTCCAGACATACATACTCAGCCACCTCATTTTCAACAAAGGAGCCAAACAGCATCACTAGAGGAAAGATAGCCTCTTTAATAAATGGTGTTGGAAAAATTGGGTTTCAACTTGCCAAAGATTAAAACTAGATCTATATCTCTCACCATGAACTAAACTAAAATTGAAACGGACTGAAGATCTAAATATTAAAACAAAAACACTAAACTGCTTGGAAGAGAGGTTACGTAAAACTCTTGAAGACAGTGGCATATGAGAAGATTTCATGAACAAAACCTCGGTTGCACGTAAACTAGCACAAAGAATCAACAAGTGGGATCTCTTATTAAAAAGCTTCCGCACAGCAAAAGAAAATACCAACAGCATAAAGAGACAATCCACGATGTGGGAAAAAAT